TGGCAGGAAGTGTTAATCATGTGAATTGCCACACTGTATTCAAGGGAGAAAAAAATCAGGCAAGGCTTTTAAAAATCTACTTGAAAAGATAAAGCAAGAAGTAGGAAACAATACCCAAATTGACAATTCAAACATCTCAGATAATTAAAGTGTATGCACTTCAAATGCTTATCATAACTTACTGTTCTAAGTTGTTTTCTGAGATTTCCTGTTTTCTGGATTTCCAGACCATTTCTGATGAACATCTCCAGGAGACTATGCACTATATCATCTATTCTGTCCAGCCATTGAGCAGCCAACATAAATAACGTGAACAGGGTTAGATTCTCCTTCTACTACTATGGTCAGGAAAAGGTCAAGTTCAACTTACAGATAGTCTACAGCAGCAGTCCCCAACATTTTTGGCAAAAGGGATTGGTTTTGTGGAAGACCATTTTTCCACAGACAGGGGAGAATGGTTTTAGTTTTGCTCATTTGCTGATCTCCAGCTGTGTGGCCTGGTTCCTGACAGGCCACAGACTGTTACCGGTCTGTGACCCAGGGGCTGGGGACCCCTGGTCTATAGTATGAATGAAGAAATGTTAAGAACTTCTTGTTCTCTTTTCTAATATTGGGTTCAGCAACAGATGACTCCAAGCTCCATCTTTCTTCTGACACTCGAGGGATATCACAAATCCTGAGTATATGTCTGCAGAAAAATTTGTGACTGATGCGGATTAAGAAGCTGAAGCTATAGCTAACAAAGCTTTTGTCTCAGAAAGAACAAATTGGAAACAACTAAAGTATATCAGTCAAAGGGGGGTCTGTTGGGATAACAATTTCATATATAAATTCAGTGCCCTGAGTAGAGATCATCAAATATTGTCAGATGCAAATTTTGCTCTATTAGATACAGCTTCAATCTATAATCAATACATTATTTGGGATATTATCTGAACTAATGATCTAAAATGGAGAAATATGGTTAAAGAAGAACAGAAACCAACATACTTAAGAATCAGAATTCTAGTAATTGTAGAGCAAGGAGGATGGGGGTAAAACAGAGTTCAAATTAGAAGAGGAGAGAACCAAGTGAAATTATTATTTCTGAATAGAACAAATGGCTTCTTTTATAGAGTTGTACAAGTCTTAGCTACTAGGGTTATTCAAATATTCCTACTTAATTTATTTATTCACTTAATCTCTAGCCCATCCATTTCTAGAATGACTCTGAGAGATTTCACCAGATTAAAATCACATTTTGCCATAAAATAACACATAATGTAATGTAGAACAAAAAGTGGTATATGAGGAATCATGAAAACATAATTCCATGACACCCACAACTAGAAGAAGACCTATCCAAGCCCCAACCATCTAATCACAGGCCTCGGGGGGGGGGGAAGGTATTTAATGATTACTTGTAGGCAGGCAAGGTAGGAGTCATACGGATCTTCAAAGGAATACTCTTCCAAAGAACAGCTGTAAGATACCAGTCCTTAGAGGTAGTCCAAACAAGAAGCACCATAATACCTCTGATTATGGTACTGCCTTTATTGTAAGGTTTCAGTCATGCAATCTTGTAGGTCTGAAAGTACATCTCTCTCCTCTTGCCTTTACAATCCAAGGAACTATGAAGGGTCCCTTCTTCCTTCTGCAGGCTAAGCTGCCATTTATCTGACTGTTGTTTAGTCTGTTGCTGTCCTCTTCCTCTCTTTCAAGATGTTCTTGAAAACTTTTACATATTTCTGGTGCTGCTGCATTTTAAACTTATCTCTAAAATGATGCTTAAGGGCAATCCCATGTAGAATGCATTGAAGTAAGCCAGCTGTGAGGTAGGCAAGCTCTGAATAACCATGAAGGAGGACTCTTGATTCAGGAATGGGAACACCTAGTACAGTGATGGCAACCTTTTAGAGACTGAGTGCCCAAACTGCAACCCAAACCCCACTTATTTATCGCTGGGTGCCAGGTGGGCGTGGCCCACTGGGTGGGCGTGGCTGTGGTGGTCATGGCAGTCTGGTTGGGTGTGGCCAAGGTGGGCGTGGTCACCTCGATGTTGCTCGTGGGGAGGGACACCTGTGGGGGCTGGGAACGGTTGTGGGAGATCCAGGTGGTCTCTGGCAGGTGGGGCGGTAGGCAGGAGGCTCGTCCTGTGGGGTGAGGCGAGGCAAGGCGAGGCAGGGCAGGGGTGCCATTGTCACTGGGCAAAGTGAGGCAGGGGCCGGGACAGCTGCTGCCTGACACCATCAGCCCCCACACACAGAGGCCAGCAAGCGCACGGGGACCGACAGTGTCTATCAGCAGCCACCGCTTGCTGGCCCCTTGACGGGCGCACTCTGGGGCTCTGCAACCTGCTGCCAGCAGTTCAGAGAAGCCATCTCTGAGCTGGATGGCCGGCCGACAGCTGAGGAGGCAATGGAGTGGGTTGTGCCCGGGAAAAGGAGAGCATGCGAGGCCAGGAGGAATGGGATGCTGGGATGCATCCAGCCACATGGGACCTCGGTGAGTTAGAGGGCAGCTGGTTGAAGGACAGTTGCCATCTTTGGGGCATGGTGCGTGTGCCCACAGAGAGGGTTCTGAGTGCCGCCTCTGGCACACGTACCATAGGTTCGCCACCACTGACCTAATAAGACCTTTCTGAATACAGCTGTCACTTGCTTCCTGAACCAGAATTGAGAGTGTAGGAAGACCCCTCCAACCAGATCACACACGTGCCTCAGATGGAGGAATGCAGGTCCATTCTGGGCTAGAGATGGAAGATCCCATAAGCACCCAAAGCCATTCAGTCTTGTTTCTCTTTATAAAGAAAAAAACCAAATAGTTTTTATATAGGAAAACATAAATCAAAAAGGGATGCAACTAAAATTAGGGGTCTTTTTGTTTAAACAAACAAGCAATGAGCTTTTAATGCTTCTGAATTGTATGAGACTTAGAGCAACTTAAGCACATACAGGATTGTCCTGCAAAGCTGGACAAAGTATTCTTACTTATGAATTGCTTTGCAATTCTATAGAACTTACTTTGAATAAGAAGTGTTTAGGCTGCAAAAAAAGTATTGTTTTGTACTATAAAGTTTGCAAAGTCGTTTTATAAAGAGCTCCTGTCTTCAATATAAATGATGAATGAAACATATTGTTTTCTTCTCCATAAAATGATTACAACAAACAATAAAAGAGCTTTAAAAGATGGGCTTATGGGATTTTACTGACAATACTGAATTTTAAAAGTGATTTATCCTGTGTAGTGCTGCTTAGCCAAAAAGAAACAAAAGCCATTACGATGATTTTCTATTTATTCAAGACAATACTTCAACTTTGTCTTTGAAACATCAAAGGGATCACAACTAACTACAGAATTTCCATCTTGTAGCATTCAGCTTACCATTGTACAGTATTTAGTACAACTTACTGTCATTGGTATTAAAGTTCCTAAATCATACTCGCATAGGGTGTTTTTTTCTCCTCAAAAGATTAATGTTTGAACTACAGTACTTCATTTTAGGCCAAGATTCAGAATACATCTAGTAAAGTGAATTGCCAGGAATACAACTGAGTCATAACACAACTTCCACTGAACATAGACAAGAACCTTCTTGCTGGATCCTCACCTTAGGAAATATGTTTATTTCTTTGTATAAATGGCACAACATATTGTACCAGCAGTATTGAACTAAAGCCATAATTTTCTGCAGCAAGAATGTCCAGAGACACCAAGTTGGGAAAGCATTACTATTTCCTCTATTTGCCATTTTTTGTTTAACACAATGGATCTGGAGTTTTATATATGAAAATTCAAAAAATATGAGATTACTTCAGTTTACAGCTACTGATTCGTAGCCTCAACATCTCTTAATGTGAACCTAATATTTTGTAGTGCTTACGATCCAACACAATTCATGTCTCAAGGACTTCTTCAATCTGTAGCAAGCTGGTTTTAAAAAAAGCATACACAACACACAATCCTTGGCTTATGCAGAGGAGAGAATGAACAAAAGGGAAGGAAAGGGGGAGGAGAGAAGAGGGAGAAACGAAAGGAAAAAGGAATGAAGGAAGAAGGAGAAAGATGGAGGGAAGAGAGGACAGAAAGAGCAAGGTGGGAAGGACAGAAGGAGGGAGGGCAAACAGACAGGTAGGTAAGCAGGTAGGCGGGCAGGAAGGAAAGAGGAGGGAGGAAAGGAGAAAGGAGGAAAGGAACGAGGAAGGAAGTGGGAGAAAGGAAAAAAAGGTGGAGGGAGGAAAGATTTCTGATATTCACTTTCAGTATCTCACAAGGAAACTCCATGGGAAAGGGATAGGAAGTTGGAAGTTGCTCTTGCTCCCACTAATTTTTTGCCTGCCTATGAATGGTCATTCTGTTTCTCTGTTTAGGTAAGGAAATATCTCTGAAATGATAACCCAACTGGTCACAGGTCATCTAGTAACTTTCTAAAATCGAAGTCTTAATTAACTCTATTTATTCGAAGGTTCTTAAGCTTATAGTTAAAATTTTCTTTTGTTAAGGATTGAAGATAGGGTCATCCAGTGTTTTCAGACTTGTCGATCCTCATAGTCAAAACATAATTAAGCAATTTGCACATGTGATTAGAAACTTACCATCCTTTTAAAGGCACTGACTAGAGTTTGAGCAAGATGGTTATTCTCTTGCCTTTAATTACTTAAAACCTATCAGAAACCATTGTCTTGCAGTCTCCTCCCAAGGAATTTATAGATAAAAAATAATTGCAGCCCAGCTATATTTGAATAGTACAGTTCTTCTTAAAAACAAGACATGTTACCTAATAGCATATCCTCATCTGCCCAACTAACAGCTTTGAAAGGGGTGTGCAATTTTTGTTTTTTGTTTAAATTTAGTACTTGTGTGGTTTTAAAAGAAGAGTAAGGAGAACATATACAAGAGGATTGGAGTCAAGAGTTGACTTATAGTTTTTAAAGGTTAAGGATGACATGCCATCATAAATACAAAGCTGAGTAGCCCTGAACAGTGAGTTGACTTTTTTTGGGGGGGGGGGGGGAGAGTACCTTTGAGTCAGCCTTGATTCCTGGTGATTAGTTGGATTAGTCCCTGCAGTTTTCTTGGCAAAATTGCAGAAGTGGTTTTCTTTCAGTTGCTTCTGAGGGGTGAGAGAGAGATTGGCCCAAAGTTACCCAGCTGGCTTTGTGCCTAAAGAGGACCAGAACTCACAGTCTCGTGGTACAGTCTCTTAAGTGCTACACCGAACTGATTCTTAATATCAACTCGCAAATCAGAACATCTTAAATGAAATAAGTAGAATCCAAATGAGAAAAAAGAAGAAAAGAGGAATTTATCGTTTTAATAAGTGCTTCTTGGTCTAGCTTTGCATTTCACAGCCATTTAATAAAACGATACGTGAGAAACAACATAAAATATTTAAATTTCTTTAGTATATTCAATTTATCTGCAAGAGCTATTCTGCATTTTATAACTAATTCAGGTTGAGTTTGCTTTGCTCGTTCCAGCCCAATCATAACTAGTTTTGTCAACAAACGTGATTTCCAAAGGGCTTTTAAGGAGCGCTACTATTTCTTGCAGCATCGTTGCTCTTCTTTTAGTATTATTTAAAAAATAATGTCACTTAACAACATTCTATCGGGACGCGGGGGAAGAACTTGTTTCCTGATTTTTCCTGGAGCAAGTTAAATTTTGCAGAAAGAGAAAGGCGGAGTGACTCGGCGGATCTGTGACGCTGAAGATTTCTTTAGGATTGAAATGCTACATTGATCACCACGTGCTTTCAATAATCAATCAGTGTAGCTGAAAAATATGCGGAACATACGCACTATGTAAAAAAAGAGATCAATTCACCCACCCCAAAGGGGGAAGAATATCATGTAAAACCCCTCTACACGGAGGCAGGACATCAATATAACAGCTCTACACTTTCGCTTTATAACTCTCCGAATGGTAGATAGCTTCGAGATTGAAAGGAATGCCATCCAATCATTAAAGACCAGGAAGGTAAAATGAGTTGGAGCAGCGGCTGCGCGTTTAAGGACTGAAACCAAAGCTGTTCCCCATTCTCTCTCCTGGGGAGACGTTCGGAAGAACCTAAATAATGGACTTTTATTTGCAAGAGAAGGGCGGCAGATTTAGGGATCCGAAGACAGGATTTTATACAATCGACAACAGGCCTTTATTATTCATTGTTTACATATTTTAGAATTCGGCCCTGCGGTTGAAAATAATCAGCATGTATAAAGTTGTTGATTCTAAAAAAGGGAGGTTATAGGATTTCCATCTGTCTGGATGTCATGATCATCTCTCCTCAAAATATTGTAAGGATGCTCTTGAAAGACTCTCCAGTTGTGTTTTCATTAGTAGACCAGTGTCTACATATGGTTTACTGAACCCACATTAAAAATCCCACATGTTTAGGTGCTGTAATATTGAGCTTCTACATGTCCTGACTTTTTTTCAGCTCAGAAAGTGGACAAGGTGGATTTGTAACAGCTGGGGAGAGTTAGGAATTTTAAAAGTCTTTCTCCATCCAAACTACTTTCTTATTCAAAGTTCACCCCCTTACTCCTTTTATTTCTTTATGTTTAGAGAGCCCGGAGACTGGCAGTCTTTATATGAGGATAGAAAAGATCAGGGTTAGGTTTTTCTGTTGTTGCTGTTTTCTTGATAAAGGCTTCCACCTTCAGCCCACATTTACAGGACAGGACAATCATCTGGCTCAACTTGTATATTACATGAAATATACCCTTTCAATACTAAAATGCTTATTATAAGCTCCAAGTCTCACCCAGGGAGATGCAAATGCAATCTATACTACAGCATAGCATCTCAACCAAATGACTCTTAAGCAGCTTAAAGTTCTAAAATAATAACACAGTTAAAACCAATGAAAACAATCCAAAATAAATATATAAAGCAGCAAAGATAATTGACCAATTTAACAATAAAACCAAGAGACGGGCCCATAACATTTTTGGAATCCCAGGCCTAGGTACATAACCCAAAATCTTATCCCTTATGTGTCCAAATATCCACAGTTACTCACACTTGCTAGGGTTGAATCAGAGTCCTTTTCATCCCATCCAGACCCCAACAGCCTCCAGATACTGGGACTTTTACAAATGCCAGAAATATTCAGCATAGCAAAGACATAAACCAAACTAAAAAGGTGAAATAACAATTGCAGTAGCATCTTTCTCTATTTAAAAAATAATTTTACTCACCAGAGGGGCCTGTTTGACCATGTTTCTAATTCTAGCATAAAAGAATTTGGGTGAGCTTTGATTTTCTTTTAAAGTCAAAGTTATCTTCTGTAGACAGACTTGTCACTTGATTCACTTTTCTGCCAGTTGTGCAGCAGTACATCTTGCATCTTTCTTTATCATGAGAGGGAGCTGCACAATTCAATGGGATCCTTTTTTCTTTTTATTTTTAAAATCTTACTTCCTGTGAAATAGGAGCATTGACTTGTCTTTGAAGGCCTAGTCAAACCTTCTTCAATAGTTCTGTACATTGATCTATGATTTTATGTTTTCATTATTTAGGTCATTGCAGCAAAGCCTTTCTATACTAAGAAAGTATAAATTTTATGAGTCTAAAGAATAATAATTTAAAAAACCCTAACAACTGGGGAAGTCATTATTAAAAGTCATAGATTATAGGAGAGTTTCTTAGTATCACACTTCTCCTGTTTCACTTTCCAAATTTGACACTTATGAATATCATTAACACCCAAATGTTAATCTTAGAACCCATTCATTGTGTTCTAATTCTTTACATAACCCTGATCTTTCTCTGACTGATTTAAGTTGCCTTTCAATATTGGAATCACTCTAACACTGCAGATATGTAAGAACATAAGGGGTGTCAATGAGAAGTGCCGGGTGGCTTTATGCCAAGCAGGTGATGCATATAACATATTTTTGCTTTTCAGTAGGTTATAGAGAAATATAGGGGTGGGAGTAAAAAAGTTTATGCTATACTGATTGATTTAGAAAAAGCACTAAAGTGAATAGGTTAAAATTATGGAATATTTTGCATAAATATAAAGTTGATAATCGGTGGCTGAACACTGTGATATTTGATGTAAATAAAGTAATCACAAGAATAAATTGAATGTAAGTTCAATACTAAGCGGTGACTAAGGCAATGTGTGCAATATTTTTAGTTGTTTAATATGAATAATTAAAATGTAATTATGGACAAATGTACAAGAATGTTTGTGATGATGACAAATGCATACTGATTGGAATGTGAATGTACTTTTGCATGCAGACAATGTCACATTGTTAGCCAAAAACCTAAATAAATTACAAAAAAATATTAGGTAGATTGTACAATGCAATGAGATTATGGATCTGACAGTGAATATATTAGATTGCCAGGAAAAAAAAATAGGCTTCTGAATGAGGAACTATAGCAGACTAGATGTCCCTGAAGGAGTGGGAATGGATTTTGGAGCAAATCAATCAATCAGACATCAAATTTTGCTTGGCATAATCTTTCTGAACAGAGATAGTGAGATCACTTATTTACACTTGAGACAACTGCTACTCCTGAGGAGACAGCAGGAACTGAGATTTTTGCAATTGACTTGTGAGTTGAGTGGCTAGGAGTCGAGGGATTTCAACCAAGCTGACAGTCATAATGTACAGGTAGTCTTTGACTTACAACAGTCCATTTAGTGACTGTTCGAAGTTACAATGGCCCTGAAAAAGTGACTTATGACTGTTTTTCAGTTACAACCATGGCAGCATCCCTGTAGTCACATAATCAGAATCCAGATGCTTGGCAATTGACTCATATTTATGAAGGTTGCAGTGCTTTGGGGACATATGATCATCTTTTGTAACCTTCTGACAAGCAAAGTCAATGGGGAAGCCAGATATATGGAAGTGAAAGTTGAATGTATTCAGGAGAAACAAAAGTAAGTGCAGTAGGATATCTTAGCAGTGTTTATATGTATACAAAACTGGTTGACCAGGACAAAAGAAAAAAGCATTTTGAGGGAGGTTAGTCATATAGAGAAAATGAATGTGAGTCAAATTACAAAACAAAAATATAAATGAAGAATGAATGCAAGACAATGTCCAAGAAAATTATGATCAGATGAAATTCAAAAACAGATTCTCAGAAAGGAAAAAGTGCAAAAGAACAACAGGCAAATTATGAAACAGTATATGAATGTAGTGGTTGATTTCCAAGAATAGAAAGGTATGGAGAAGCTTAGTTAATTGTATTGGCATAACTTAAACTTAACTTTATTTCTTATGTCATTCCTTTAATTTTTTTTATTTACTGTTTCTGACTCCTGTTTTGTTTACCCTGGACAACCATTTGTCTGAAATGATATAGCTTGAGTAGGGGGCTGGACTAGAAGATCTCCAAGATCCCTTCTAGCTCTGTTCTATTTTATTCTGCTCTGCTCTGCTCTACCCTAGAAGGGAAGGGAATATCATATAATGCTGGTTATATAGGTATGTATATATTTATTTAAAAAAGGAACAGCATTCTTTGTTGGCCAAGATGTGCCCTTCATCTTTTGGAGAGCAAGTATTTCAGGAAGGAGGGGAGAAACAATGATGCAAAATGGACTGGGATGGGGACTTTCAAATCTGTATTTATATGCTCCAAATGCTGGTTGGGGATGCATGGGAAGTTTAAGTCCACACATCTTAAAGTCTGAGGTTCTCCAGGGGCAATGCCAATGTATTTCTTGTCCTCCTTAATGCGATCCATTCACCTTTTCTTGGGTCTGCATTGTGATCACTGGCCATCAGGGTCCAGATGCATAGCTGTCCCTGTATGTATCTGTACCATCTAAATCTTCCTTCCTGCATTTTCGCTATGATTGGCATGACTCCCAATCAATGTCAGATGTCGTTGTTCATAGTGTGGTCGAATCACATCAGTCCAAGGCACCATTGGAGCATTTGCATTTCCATCACATGTATGACCTGCTTATGCTCTGATCCATAGAGGGTGACTGGACACACTACCATTCTGTAAGTCTTTGACTTGAGGTGTAAGGGCAACTGAGGATCACACAGGACTCCAGTCACCTGGCGCCACTTCATCCAGGTTCACTTCATGCCCAGTTGTAGGCATCCGGAAAGCTATCACTGTTGCTGCATATGAGGGAGCTGAGGTACTTGAATTGCTCTACTTTCTTAAGGATTTTTCCACCAATGCTAATGGTTCCAAGAGCAACAATTCCATAATTGCATAATATGGAAATAACACGGAAAAGAAAAACTCTGCTACTATAAGCCATTTGAAAATAAGATTATGATATTTCAAACTCCCAATGCCTATAATTAAGTTGCATTAAATTACACACACACATGCATGCATACATACCAGGCATCTAGGGCACTTTTGCATGCCTGCTGATCATGTTGGAGAAAGAAATCCACACTCCAAAATTGTTCTGTGACAGTGTTTTTGTCTTTTGCTACTGCAGTTTGCCTTGACTCAACACAAAAGGTTCCTGCAGAGAGTGACTGAAGAAAAATAAAGACATTTTTCTGTAAACATAAATATTTTGTGATGGGGAGGGCTGAAAGGGAGTAATTAGTTTTGGAATCAAATCTAATAATGTAAGTAAAATTCTGATTGGTTTTGGAAACAGTAATTTTTAGCAGCATGAATAATTACTGTTTTAAGCATGCAGTGCAAATAATAACATGTCCTTGCACACATTGCCTGGATCTAAATCAAGGCATCAACTAATAACAATAATGATAATTTTGCTATTGCTGCTCATTCAGTAAGAGAGATGTAGATCTTAACCATTTAATCAGGGTTTATGGGAATTACATTAAAGAGGTTTATTTTGTTTTTCTTTTGCTGCATTGGAGAAAATCAGTTACAGAAACATTTAAAATAATAAAGATAAGCGGCCTTTGAAAACAAAATTTCCTGTTCTGGAAGAATGTGTTTATTTTAAACATTTAATAACACACCTCTACCTTTGGATGTATTATCAATAAGCTGTGTTGACTAGATACTAAAATAGATTTTAGTATTAGTATTGTATCTAGAAATATAAATATAAATAAAAACCTTGAACTGCCTCTTTTGTTGCAGCTCTACTCATTTCCTAATGAAATTCTTAACTTGAAAGCAAGTACTTTTGTGTCCAGTAAGCTTACTCTTAAGAAATTGTATAAAAAATGCTACTGTGACATTATTAACCCACAGAGAGGATAAATTAACAGGTTAAGTTAAATCTCACTGAATTCAATTGACCTTATTTGTAGGCAATCAAACTGAAGTCTAAACTGGAAAATGCCAATCTTAGCTACTTGCTGACTCCATGCCAAGGATCTTTTAAAAACAAGGTAAAATCTTTTGAAATAGGTAGTATATCATCACAAAGCCCAGGTCTTTTCAAGAATAGGTGGGTCCACAATTCATACTGGGAGGGGGAGGAATATGTGTGTACAGAATGGCTGTATCGGAAGTACATAATATTATTTTGCTTTTCCTTGAAGGAATGGAACAAAAATAATTTAATGTGAGGAAAAAACAGCTCTAGATGCATCTCAACTGGTATAGAAGCCAATGTCTTACTGAAGTATATCTGGCCTCACAGGAATTAAGGCAGTGTCACATATCGCCCTTTTGAGATCTTTTAGACTAAAAGAGTGGTAAGTGAACCAGAGGTCAGACTGTCTAGCCACTATTCCACAACTGACTTTGCATTTTTTGCATAGGGCAAGGACATGACATGGAAATGAACCCTGTAAGATACTGTACTGTACTCATAAATGTATGTATGTCATAAAATATAATCTTGCTAAAGCATCACATATCTTTTTCCATTATCAACTATAGTTCTTTCTCATTAACTTTCTTGAAAGAAACCATGGTTTAAAACAGTGAGTCTGATATAAATAAAAGGCTCTCAAATTGGTCTCCCATCCAGGGAACATTTGAAAAACGTTAGACTAGATGACCTCCAAGGTCCCTACCATCATCATCATCATCATCATTATTAGTCTAATGGGGTTACTCTTTGGTTGTTTTCAAAGCTGAAATATATCATTCATTGTGTTGGGGGTAGGGCTTTTTATTTATCTTAATAAATAAAATTAAAACAAATAAAAAATAAGAAAGGAAAACACAAGTTAATTCATAAAAAACAAAAAACCAACCACTACCTCCCCACAAAAAATTATCAAGAGGGGAAAATATTTGTCTATCTATCTATCTATCTATCTATCTATCTATCTATCTATCATCTATCTATCTATCTATCAAATATTTTCATCAGATTTCAAACTAGTTTCGAATTCTACAGTTAAAAAAAGACGGTATGCTAACATTAAAAAGTCAAAAAACCTCATATTGAATCATATTTTAATGTTGCATTTTCAAAACCATATAAATTACACACATAGTGAATCCAATCCTTAATAACGAGAATATCACTACTTTTCTAATTTCTCAATATACTTGGCTTAGTGACATGCCTAGCCTGAAATAACCATGACTCCTAAATAAAAAAAAATAAGATTCCAACATTTGTGAACATAATTCAACAATCACTCAAAATGTAAAACAAAATGTGCAACTTCGTCTAGGCCAGGGGTCTTCAATCTTGGCAACTTTAAGATTTGTGGACTTTGCTGGCTGAGGAATTCTGGGAGTTGAAGTCCATAAGTTTTAAAGTTGCCAAGGTTGAGGACCCCTGGTCTAAGCTATCAGGAGGGTCCTTGGTAAATAATATATCATCCCCATGTTGTATTATGAAAATAATGAATTATAGGCCAGAACATCATTACTGTATTTGAAAATCAGGCTGAGGTCAAAATTGCCTCATCCCTGGGGAGAGGGGATGTGATCAAGTTCAGTAAGCATACATCATTTGAACCCCACTTAGTGATTTATAAGCCACATTTTGAGAGTTTTTAGTATTCGTTCCTCAACATAACATTTCATGCATTTAATAAAATGGACACTGATCCATTATGGAGGCTTATGGGATAAAGATGCACGTTAATCTCTAGAATGCCAGGATTCTTAATTTTAGGGGAAAGTTCTAATATTATCATAATGCCCTTTGACCAGAGGATTTGAAACGGGGAGGGGTAGACCATCAGCTCTTTATCATAACAAGGAATTATTATAGAGTACTTTATTACTCTATTACAGGGGTCTTTAAACTTGGCCCTTTTATGACTTATGGATTTCAACTCCCAGAATTCCTCAGCCAGCCTGCCTGGCTGAATAATTCTGGGAGTTGAAGTCCACAAGTCATGAAAGGGTCAAGTTTGAAGACTCCTGCTCTATTACTATTATTATGATGACCGTGGTGGCGCAGTGGTTAAAATATAGTATTGCAGGCTAATTTTGCTGACAGTTCAAGTCTCACCGGCTCAAGATTGACTCAGGCTTCTATCCCGCTTAAAGAAAGCACTGTGAAGTGATATATAAATCTAAATGCTATTGCCATTTACACGATAAATCTCATTCTCTGCCATACGCTTATTTGCAACGCAATGTTTTGATTTTATTCTCTAATCCAGCTCAGACACTTTCCCAAGTTTTCTCAGAATCCTAGATTTTATTTGTTTGTGTCCACAGCTCTTTCCAGCCTACGGTATCTCCACGCTTCGCTCCACCAACTCTCCACCCCTCACCCCTCCTGCCAAGTGAACTTCGTAATCACTGTCAGCCGCAGTTGGAGAAAATCGATGCCCGTGGAGGGCTTTCTGAACTAGGTTTCTAATCGGGTTTAAGCGCCCGTTTGGTCTCTTTTCGAAGCCGGTTTGATGCAGATTGACTTAATTTCCCGTTGCGTTCCGCGCGCAGATTAGGCTTCTTTTAAAAGGAAGGCAAGTGGCAACAGAGGCTTCTCTCGCTTTCTCCCCCCCCCCCATACCTTCATTTTGCCGAAATCGCCGTCCTGGTTACTGCCCAACCCAGAGTCAATGTCAGCAATTTCTTGCCGCCCACCTTCTCCGTCCAATCCCACCACCCCCGCGGGAAAGTCGAGCGCAAAGGGAGCTTTTCGCAGTTGCCATGTGGCGGCGGCGGCGGCGGCACCTTTGACGTTCCATTTTCCCACGTGACAGACAGCCTCACTCCATTCCAGGGAGGGAGGGAGGGAGGGAGGGAAGCGCTCTCGCCGCTGCCGCTGGCTCCGCTTCAGCAAAGCTTTGAGGGAGTTGCAAACGCCGGAGGAGCGGCGGCGGCGGCGCGAGCAAGCAGTGCAGCGTGTGTGCGCGCTGCTTGTGTGATGAACAAGCCTTGCTTCCTGCCGCCTTCTGCCGGCTGAGCCCTATTGCACCGGGCTGGGTGGGTGGTCCAAGCAGGCGAGGAGAAGAGAGCTACCGCTGTGCGCCGGTTGACCTTGGCTCAGGAGGTAAATAACGCCAGGCGGCGGGAAGTGGGGGAATTTTGCCTGGCTGGCTTGCGTTCGGGGGGGAAAACCAGCAGCGGGAGGAGGAAGAGGAGGTGGTGGTGGAGGAGGAGGTGCCCGAGGCACTGTCCACGGTGCTGAAATCTCAGGCAGCTTCTCCGCTTTCCCTTGCAGGGCAAAACAATCTCGCGCCTGCCATTTGCTGCCGAAAGGCACAAGGCAGACGCACGCCTAAGAAGGCTGCTGCCAGGAGGCGGCGGCGGGAGGAAGGGAAGGGCTGTTCAGGACCACTGTGGAACCGAACCTGCGAGCCAAAGACTGCCAAGCAACCTTTGTGTTGTGACTGTTCGGGCTTAGAGGAGTCAGGGCCGCTCTTAGAGTCGAGTCGGGTTTTCCCAACTCATAGAAGAGCGAGGCGCAGAATGCTGCTTCGCCTTGCTGAGGCGGCCAGGTTATTGAAGAGTAAGGTGGAAGAAGAGGAAGAGGAAAGGGGGAAGAAAACAGTCCTCAGATTGGTCCTGGGAAGGAAAGATGTGGATTTGAAAGCAGACACGTGGCTGACTGTCGCAGAGTCAAAGGCGTTGGATCGTTTCTTTGTTATTGACGTGGCACAGAAGTCCACTTTGAATAAAGCTGCAAGGAAGTGGCTGAAACCTAGGGCGAAGGTTGCAGTCCAGTGGGAAGTTTTGTTTTGCGCGGAGGGGGGGGGGAGCAACCGTTGCTAGAAAAGATGCTTACATCACTGTGATGCTGGTTCTAGGATGTTGATGCTAAAGCCTCCTGAATGGCCATTCAAGCAAAGTCTGCTGGGTTAGCCAAGAATGGGGTGGCAAGATGAAACTTCCAGTGGCCGCTGGATGGTGCTGGAAGGAAATTACTGCGTTGGTTTAAGGCAGGAGTTGGGGCCGGGCCACAGGGCTGAGTGAAAAGGACACTTCCTGTTAAGGAACTGGGAGAAAGTTAGAGCTGTCTACTGCGGATGTGAGGAGTTGCCTACGAAAGAGTATTTGACTGAGATAACTTTCATTCTTCACAGAGGCTAGTTGCTCTGCAAAAAAGTTACCACAACCCCCAGCCCTTAAGATATGGCACAAGGAAATAACTATGGACAGAGCAGCAATGGGGTAGCCGATGAATCCCCAAACATGTTGGTGTACAGAAAGGTAGGCAATTGGATATGGTACAATAATGATTAATTTATCTATTACATTGATCAGCTGCCTTTTTTCTGAGAACTTAGCACAAAGAAATAGAGATGTTTCCCTCCCATGCTACAGCAACAATGCTGAGAGTAGGTAGGTTTGAGAGAGAGAAAGAGACTGGCATATAGCAAGTATGAAACATATCAGGCTTCAGTCAGTCACTCCATGTTTCAATCAATAAAGCTAAAAATCCTAATCTTACATCTATGTTGCTTAGCTTTTATCTGAGTGGTGCATATAATGGAAAGGGAGAAAACAGCCATGTTGAAATTCTTGATTTCATTCGTTCTTCATCTATAAATTATGTGGAATTACAAAAGCATTTTTTGGACACAAAATTCAGTTTGTTAGAAGAAGTGGAACATCTTAACAGTCTCAGCTTCACTAAACCCTTGTATTCTTCAACAGAATTTTTAAAATCATCACTCCAATATAACTCCTTTTGTTGGGAACTGATGTAAAATATATATTAAATAGATGAAGATATATGGCATTAAAATGTATCTATGGCTAATGATTATGAAATATTTTCTGTCTAACATTTTTTGAAAATAGAACTAAAATATTTATTTTTAAAACAATTTGTGCATGTTCAAAATTCTTGCACTGATGCTATTCATTTTTACTCAGCCCTGTACTGTTAAAACTGTCCTTAAAAAAAAAACAACAATAACTATGTTAGCACAACATTTTTATTAGGTTGTGTTAAATTTCATTTTATGGGGAGGAGGGTTTAGAGCTAAATTTTAAATTTAACTTGTTTGGTTAGGTTATGTACAAAAAAAATCACCAGCAACAATGGATTAGCAAAGAAATTAAGTATATTTTGTTAATGCAGAGAAAATATCTGAAATAGCTTGTATCCTGTTTTTACAGATAGAATTTTAATAATATCATTGCAATAAGAGTTATATTTAATAAACAAACTTTAAAACACTAATTATATATAACTAGGGCTTTTTTATTGAAAAGCCTTTTACTAGTGCCAGGGCACCTGATTTCAAACAGCTTTTCTACATATCGCAGCCCTATGCATCTCAAATAGTGTCTGTTGATCCTTCTTCACCAGTATTTTGTTCTGATAAACTTTCATTGGATGGTTGTGTTAGTTGTTACTGTGTTCTATACCTGAGAAATTTGTCTTTTGGAGCTAGAATCCATATTATCAGAACCAATTCATCTGCTTGACCAGATTGCGTGTGAAAGTGTCATACATTCCACAATAGCTTGCTTAACTTACTCAGTTGATAATGCTATGTCGATAATGTTTGTATAGGATTTTACTGAAATATGTTGTTATAAAAACATTCCCAACCCAAATTAAAACATCAGTGATCATACTGTTATGTAATTGTTATAGAAAGGCTAACAGAGTTGTGCTCACACTAAGCAAAATAGAACAAAAAGGTAGTCAAAATTAACAATGGAATTGCTATTGGTATGTAACTGTATGTATGTAACTGTAATTTTCATCCATGAAGGCAGTTATCACAAATCCACTAAGAAATACACAGGGAATCCTCAGGGACTTACCTCTAAGTAAATATGCCTAGATTTGCACATCTTTATATGCTCAGTCAAACAAAAGTTGTATGAAATACACAAATATCCATTCAGATAGATAGGATTGCCTCTGATGATAGTACTGTATTTATTGTGAATTTGGTGCCTGCATATTGATTGTTTTGCAAATATGTATAGCATTTTGATATAGCTTGGCTCCTCATGGCCTGAGAGAGATATGTATTTGAGTTTGGAGGACATTACTGTGTTAACTGTACTTTTGTTTGTGCCACATATAAATTATTATTCCTATTAATAATAATTAGCATGAATCGGTAGATTAAAAAAAAACAGTCTAAGGTGGTCTTCAATTCTAACTTCACTCTCAGAGGCTAGTGGACACTGGTAGACAGATAAGAAAATGTTGTTCTGAAAACAGAAGGGAATTCCAATAAGGAATCAAATCACCTTAGAGGACCTCCGGATAGAAAAACTGTCATGCCTGTGTTTTGCTTTTGTAGGAAGCACCAGAAATAGGAGCCAAAACAGCATTCCATTCCAGTAGTGTGTTTGGTTGGTTGCTGGAGCCAAAGTTTTTACAAAATATTTTCTTCTGACTGAAATGTTGATGGCTGCAGAGGAGAATTCTCTCTGAAACCTTCATCGAGTGTGTTTCAGGAAAATAACTTAAAATGTCCTCCAAAATATTGCAAAGCATATCAGGCTGTGATGTGAGGAGTTGCTCCTTCAGGTAAATGGACTCAATTAATTTAGAGCATTGTAGAGCATTACAGATCCTAGAAGGCAACCTTGGAGTCGTGTATACTTCATAACTGACCTCAGTTAACATTCTGATACATCATTCTGAAGCAACTGAAGGTTATGAACATTCTTCAGAGGCAGCGCATGTTGGAGAACTAAATATGTGGCTGTGTAACCATAGTCATATCTGATAGGTCCGAGTAATTATTATCAGTCTCCCTAAGTCTGAAGAGCTAAAGAATTCCTGTAACTGGAGTTTTACCAGCTGGATAACTAATGGTTGTGGGGGAGGAAGAGAAAATTTGGAATAAATAAAATCAGTGGCAGAAAGGATGTGCAGAAAATGAATATGTATCTCCCCACAATGCAAATCTCCCACCCAAGATCTCTTGTGCTGTCATTTTTTACAGGTAGTCCTTGACTTACGACCACAATTGAGCCCAACATTTCTGTTGCTGAGTGACATATTGGCTAAGTGAGCTTTGTCCCATTTTACGACTTTCCTTGCCACATTTGTTAAGTGAATCACTGATGTTGTTAAGTTGGTAACGCAGTTGTTAAGTGAATCTGGCTTCCCCATTGGCTTTGCTTGTCAGAAGGTCTCAAAAGGGGATCACATGACTCCGAGACGCTGCAATTGTCATAAATATGAGTCCATTGCCAAGCGTCTGAATTTTGATCACATGACCATGGAGATGCTGGCATGGTCATAAGTGTGAAAAACAGTCATAAGCTCCTTTTTTCAGTGCCATTGTAACTTTGAATGGTCACTAAATGAACTGTTGTAAGTCAAGGACCACCTGTACTTGGGAGAAGCCCCATTGGGAGAGAATGATTCTGCGTCATTAGTTCACATTTATCATTTTCTTTGAAAATATAAATACAGTTCTTCTGTTTTGCAGAGAAACACAACTGCCAATGCCTATGAAGGCAATATTGGTCTTGAGAACTGAATTACTATCAGGCATTTAAAATTTTATTAAACTATGCAACAGTTTTGCAGTAATTTTAATATATATTATATCTATCTGATGGCAAAAAACCCAGCCTATTCTTTCTATTCCATTACTGAACATTTAGAATCACATTGCCACTTGTAATGGGGCCTTGCCAGAATTAGCCCGGATTTGCAATCCATTGCTTCTGCTGTTTTCTCAGGGGCTTTCAACTGGGTCTGTGGCACTGCAGCAGCTGGAATTCTTTCCAAAGGGCTTTCTTACTTGCATTAACCAATCTTCCCAAATCCCTGTTGAGGCACACAAAAGCCTTGTTTTGGTATACGTCACATTAGATAAACTTTTATTTCAAAGCTGAAGATGTTTGGATGCAAAGAGGATTGTGCCTGGAGGATAAGTTTTTCTTTTAAAGAGGAGAACAACCGTTGGAGTATTCTGATAAAGCGTTATCAAGCTAATAAATTAATGCCGTTCTGTCTTTCAAAAGATATATTTATTTCTTGGCTTATAATTTGGAAGGACTCAAACATCCTAAGACTATTTCTTTCATTTTATATTAAATTCTTTCGAATATTTAAAAATGGACTGAGTTCTAGGAATTATGACGTTGCTAACTGCTAGGATAATTTGCCTGGAAATCTCATTTATTCCTTCCATACCATATATAGGACTTGCAGATATTGCAGAATTGAATATGGGCAGGCAAACTATAATTCCTACATGTTAGGAGTTTTGGACTGGTATTTTTTGGATAACAAGAAATAGCTTTTTACTGTTTTTTTCTTCTTTAGTGTAGATCTATAGTGACTTTTTACTCCACTGAAAATTACGAGATCTGATTTATGATTTTTAGATATTTAATGGCAAGGTTGCCCTTATTTGTTCCATCAATAGCTTCATTGTCAATTCTGGCCTTGGTTCACACAGAATTTGCTGCCACGAAGTACGTAGGCAACAACGTTACAGAAAACATAAACCTATAGAAATCCGTCACCTTAAACATATTTTAATTCCCAGTCCTTTAGTGGTTTCTTAAAACCATGGCAAAACAGGAAATGTAATACCTAAACGTATTAATATGCATTGTCTCCCAGTATAATTAAATCTGTGGAGTCCTGGGTGCTGTCTGATCTTGGTGTTTGCTTGGAGACATTTTATTACCCTGCTAGGTAACATCATCAGTGCACTCTCTGATGATCACTCACACTGATGATGTTGACCAACTGCATAATGAAACATCTGAAAACTCAGAAAGCACCAAGGATGTCAAAGTTCAATCCTCAGCTGCTGATATTCTCTTCTATTGAGAGTTAAATCTACTTGACTAGGAATTCTGAGAACTGTTGTTCCAATTGTTGTAATGTTGCTTGATTTGGGAGAGTCTGTTAATGTAGTCTTACAGTAAAGTAGAACTAGCTCAGCTGGTCACGATTCTGGGAAGGCTGACATTAATCTTGCAAGTCTAACTATACCAATTTCCTGCCATCTTTTTTTACAGCCTTAGAAATTAAGGGAAGTTCCCTTCTGGGTTTCTTTTTTTTGTCTGTTATACAACTGCAGGCTGTGCCTTCTCTTATGTGATTGTCCCCTAGGCAGTATCTTTTTCTCCTGTCTCCCAAGATTGTTCCCACATAGCATTATAGTTTTATAATTTTTGTAATTTTTATTGTAAGATTCTTATATTTAATATTGGAGTCACTTCTTGAGATGAGTAGATGCTGAATTGTTAAAATAAAATAA